AAAATAGTCAATTGTATTTAAGACATAAAAACCACAATTTCAACAGAAAACAGCATTTAAAAATACAACATCTACTTTGAATGAAAGATTTCAAACAAAGGCAGTAAATAATAACACATGAGATGATGTGTCCCATCAGACTCCAGTCTTCACTGTAGCTCCTGCATGAACGCACATCAACATCTTCCTCATCTCCACCATTTCTGTCCTCCACAACGCTCTTTCTGTATTTGTCCTTGTTGACCTCGTCTCCAGCAACTGCTAAATAACAGTGATGTAACCATTGACAATACTCACTACAGCCTATTTAAAAAGAGTTGCATCATGTCAACTTTTAAACTTTCCGGAAAGAAACTATGAATACTTCTTCCTCATAGCCTCATCATGAATCTGGTAGGATACCTGAAAGGCAGCAAATATGTTTAGTAACAGAATATTTAATTGGATAGGTTAAACAATGCAAAAATGGATATTAAAAGACTGCAACAACCTTCTGAACTTCTTGTTTATAATCTCAGAAGATGAGTTGATCTTGAGGAAAAGAGGAAACAATATCTGAGAAAAAAGACTGTATGAATATAGCTAACATTAAATATATTCATTTTGCACTATATAGATAAGAAAGTATGAGTGTTTATTTATATGTAGCTTATATATACTTGAGTACGGTGATGTGGTGTATCAATTTGCTGCTTCTCTCTTCTTTAGATGCCGTTTATCAGCGCTTTGAGATTTAAATCAGATTGTAAACGTTTAACTCATCATTGTATATTGTATAACAGAGTAGCCTGCCCCTCTCTGTCCATTAAGGAAAATGCACTATTACCTAATTATTCATAAAGCTCTTCAGGGGTTGTTGCCTTCGTATCAAGGTTGTCTAATTCAAAAGAAAAGTGTTGGGAAATATTCCCTCCGGTCTGAAAATTGTTTAACTCTTTCTGTTCCATTTGTAAGAATGGAACTGGGAAAAATGGCTTTTATGTATGCAGCTCCATTTGAATGGAACATTGGAACATTGGTCTATGGAACATTTTAAATATATTATTTGGTCACTTGAAGAAAACTCAATGATGTGCAATTGTTTTTAAGTGTTTTCATTTTATACTTGTTTTGATCTGTAAAGTTTGTGATTGTAACTGCTGCCAATTCTGGGCCAGGACACTCCTGTGAAAGGGATTTTTAATCGCAGAGAGATTATCCTGGTAAAATAAAGGTCAAATAAAAATAAAATAAAATAAAATATATAAATTTAATATATAAATATATTCATATTAGTGCCGGGCAACGATTAATCGCAATGAATCTTATCCAAAATACAAGTTTATGTTTACATAATATATGTGTGGTTACTGTGTATAATTATTTTGTATATATATAAATGCACACATATGCATGTATATATTTAAGAAATATTTGCATGTATATACTGTATGTATATAGTTATACATAATTTATATTATATAGAAATATTTAAAATGTAAATACTTTTTTTTTCTTAAATATATATGTGTATTTATATATACAAAATAATTATACACAGTACCCACACATATATTATGTAAACACAAAGTTTTATTTTGGATGCGATTTATCGCGAATAATCGTTGCCAAGCACTAATTCATACATAAATGAGAATATATAAATACTTTTTGCTAGTTTTGACTAAACTATTGAACTATTGAAGCACTTTGAATGCTTCCACTGTTATTGGCCAGGAAAAGATACACACGTCATAACTTTTTGGGGTGTTACGTCCCAGGTCAAGGGTCCAGGACAATAATTAGGTCCTGACCAGGATATAACATCCCTATAACTGTTATGATGCAGCATGTTGGGTATGGTGTGTCTCTCTCTCTCTCTCTCGCTCTCTAAAATTTCATGAAACAGAACGTTGGTCTGGGTGGGACTGTCTGAAAAGAGAGAAAGAGAAAGAGAGAGACACACACACAACATACACAACATGCCTCATCGTAACAGGGGGTATATTTCAGTATTTGTAGAGATACAGCTAGATAAACCACTTCTCCTCCTAAGAGGAATGAAGTTGGGGAGAGAGGATGCCTTCAGATTATAAAACATCCACAGATATGTTCTCTAATGGCTCTGTCAAAAATGCTAAAGCTAGCTATATTAGAGTTCAGTAGTGTTAAGACTATTTTGAGGCTGTTTTGTGAAACACCCCTGGCTCACCCCCCTCCCTCCTCTGAGAACACAGCAAGCACCTTAACTACCGGTCATTAACATATCAAAGGTCTTCCCACCTAACAGCCATCAGTGTTTCAGCTGTGAATGGCCATGACATTTCACAGATTCCTGTATATGTCCGTGTAGGCCAAGTATCTGGGTATTTCTGGAAATTTGCTGTTCTGTGTAACTTAGCTTGTGTTTTCCCTTTTCATGCAGTGTGTACCTGAAAATTGTGATGTTTCCCTGGTATTTAAATATTTAAACCACTGACCCAACCAGGCTAGTAGAAAAAAAAAATCCTTAGCGTTGAGCCCTGCTGGAGCAGCTCTAAATATTCACTGTGCTATTTAATGAAAGATAAAATATGAGAGCAATGGAATGAACAGTGAAAGTAACAGAAGCTTCTACAATACATTTTTAAGCCAACTAATTTGATTCATATTCTTTTGGGTTCTCTCCCCAATTTATTTTTTTTGTAATTACAAATGCAATGAATATACAGGTGTTGGGAATAGGCCTCGTTCTGGAATAAGTGGTATCGGAGAAATCCCTAGTATTTGCATAATGAGGTGATCTGGTTATGTAACAGCGGTTCAGATACTTCAGAAACACCGATAGTATCTGGTATGTACCCAACAGAGAACAATGTCAAGCATTGCGATATTGGCTGTTTGTGTCTTATGACTTATGAGTTGAATGCCTGCAAAAGAAGTTTGATAATAACTATTAAACTGGTCATGCTCACCCAGAGCCGATCCTGGCATCCCTGGGGCCCTAAGCAAAAATCTGTTAAGGGGCCCTCCTACCTGACCCATGAGCCATGTAAACCATTTGCCATTGCCACACAGTCACACCTGACACCCCAGTTCTCCCACTACAATCCTCCCTCGTTTAGTTAGTACTAATGAAAATGTAATTCCTGATATCAGAAATAGACATATTTTATTATTAATATCAATAATTCACATTTTAAATAGTACAAATTTAATTATTGATATCAAAAATGCATCCTGTGAATTAATAAAAGCTAAAATGGCTTGCCATTGCATGTCACTGTGTTTTAAATGATAAAAGCAATAATTGATACTTAATGGTTATTATTTACTGATTGATGTGCATCCATATTGACCAGTATGTCCAGCCAATCAACATTTTAAATGCAATAGTCAATATCAATAGATTGCTTTCCATCTTGCTTTATTGCAGGGTTGTAACTATTCTGATTTGGAGACTTGATAATCATTGTCTTGTTTTAAAGTGAGCGCCTAATGAAGAGTGCCATAACGCCCATATTGTACTGGTAACTGGTCCCCATAGATTTTTTTTCTTTTTCTGGAAAGTGCGCGTTTCATTTTGTGCACGCGCATATGAACTCATGTTAACGCGCGACCGAGCTGCAGTTTATAAACAAAAACCGTTGCCCTTTGTATTATCAAACGTAATATCATGAAAGTGCGTATCTATAGCCTACCACGAATTTAATTTATCGTGCTATTTATACGCCAAAAATGCTTTTTGCGTGCATATGCTACGCACTGTAAATCTCTTGGGTAGGATTAGGGGTGTGGAGTGCGTGCATATTACACGCCAAAAAGTGCGTATCATATGCACGCAAAAACTATTTTTGGCGTATAAATGGCACGAGAAATTAAATTCGTGGTATAAATACGCGCTTTCATGAGATCGGGCTGCTTAATTATCTCATCGATGTTGTAAACTTTGATTGACGCGCTTTGACGCGAGGGGGAGGCGGGGCCTTGAGTAATTTGCGGGGCCCTACGCAGCTTGCGTAGTGTGCGTATAGGGAGGATCGGCTCTGTGCTCACCTATCTCTTTAAGATAAAAAAAAAAAAGATTTAGCAGAAAATGCAGATTTTAATAATAATAATTCATTACATTTATATAGCCCTTTTGTCTGCAATCAAATCGCTTTGAAAAATGATCTTTTATATAGAATAATAAAATATAATTAATGGCTGCATCACTCATTTTATGCAACACCAATTCCATATTTTTAGGTTAAAATGTACATATACTGTATAAATGATGCAACATTTATGTTTTGTAACTGAGCACTATTTCACTATTAATTATATTTTTGCCTTCACTAGTTCCTGTATTCAGATTTTTTTTCAGACAGATTTTTCTTTTTAAAAAGTACAAATATGTAGTCTCTTATATAATTATTTTCGAATAATTGAAAAATGTTGTTTAACCTAGTTTTATCTTAGTCACACTGCTGAAAAGTTCAAGTCAACTACTTGTGTAGAGTCTTTTTTTTTTTTTTTTTTTATGAGTTAAAAAGGCGATATGATTTATTCAGATGATTTATTCAAAAGAAGTGCATGTTTTGCCCTGTAGTAGACCAAGACAAAGCAGAATAAACAGCTACACTGAAAGTCTCCTATTCTTATGTAACGTGTTTGCCCTGATTTTCTTGATTTTGACTTTTTGCACAGCAATCTAAATCGGTTATATAATATAAAAACCTTCCAGAAGTCCAAAACGTCTGGTAGATGTGGTTAAAAAAAAAAAAAAGCAAAGAAAATAATCTCACCTGAGGGTGAATTGCAGTTGTCAAAGAAGATGGTCTGAATTGTCTTTAGTCCAAGTCTAATTATAATTATGTCTAGTTAGACTAGTATGACCTCTTTAGAAAAAAAAGAAGTCGTCATACACCAGATAAGATATTGATCAGTCTTGTCAGGTGAGTGTCAGCCACCCTGATTTCATTTCCAGAAGATAGACCTGCACCAGGTGAGCATGATGACACACCTCCAGATCACCAGCTATAAATACAGCAGCACTTCACTCAGAAATTACAAGAGAGCTTCACCCAACAGATGATCTCTTTACTTCACCATGGGGAACTTCGTTGACTGCTGCCGAGGGTTCTGGTGCGGGACCAAGAACCCTAACGTCCGGATCAGCCTGCCTGTGGTCTGCTTCGTGTGGCAGATCGCCATGATCATCCTGTTCGGACTGTTTGTCCGTTACGATGAAGAATCAGATGCGCACTGGTCTGAGCACAAACATGAGAAGAACATCACGAGCGACATCGAGAACGACTTCTACTTCAGATACCCAAGTGAGTATTCGTGTGAATATACTGATAAGGCCATTCAAATCAGTTTATAGCTCAAGTTTGTAACGGATAAAATAGTTTTCGGTATGTAGAAAGTTACGGAAGTTGTGTTATATTTTCATCCATTAACCTTCCCGACCACTTTCCTCAGGTTTCCAGGATGTACATGTGATGATCTTTATGGGTTTCGGCTTTCTCATGACCTTCATGAAGCGCTACAGCTTCGGCGGGGTGGGATTCAACTTTCTCATCGGTGCCTTTGGTCTGCAGTGGGCTCTGCTCATGCAGGGCTGGTTCCACTTTCTGGACCCGGTTGACGGCACAATCAAGATCGGGATTGAGAAGTACGTTTTGCACCTCACTATCTTCGAATCACTTCTTTTGATTCATTTATTTAAGGTCCTTGGTTACTCTTGCACATGAAGAATGTGCCATATAGTGGCATCAGAAGGCCGTTTAAATCACCACTTTCTCGAACAATGCATCAGAAGACGGTGATTTGTGTGATACAGCTGATATTCATCATTTCCCATCTTGCTTTCGCCAGTATCATCAATGCCGACTTCTGTGTGGCGGGATGTCTCATTGCATATGGAGCTCTCCTGGGAAAAGTCAGTCCAGTTCAACTGATGATCTTGACGCTATTTGGCATCACACTGTTTGCGGTTGAGGAATATCTCATTCTTCATGTTCTCCATGTGAGTAGCAGTGTTATTTTAGAATTGTTTATATACTCAGAGCTTTTATTGTTATACTTTTCATTTTCATTTTCGTTACATTTTTATACATTTTTTTTTCAGGGTTAATTAAAACTGAAACCATATAAACATTTTCGTTTTCTTGAAATTAAATAAACGTCAACTGAAATAAAAGATTATATATTTATATACAAAATTAACTTATTTTATTTCAGCTAGTTTCAAAGGGACCATTTCTCATTTTCTTCTAGTTTAAGTACTAAAATAATAAAAAAATTAAAATAACTAAGAACTATATAGACATTAAAAAAAAGATTAAAAATGACAAAAACAACAATTACTAAAACTTTGCTAAAATTAAAACATAAAAATTAAAACAAATTTAAATTATTATTAATTTAAATTATTATAGTCTATCAATCATACTGAAAATAATACTGTTTGCTATGTCCATTAGTATTTTTTTTTTTAAATATTTGACCATTTAGAATATTTTTTATTTCAGTTTTAGTTTAGTTGCCGTTATTAATTTTAGTGCTTTGAATTAAACAAAATGTGTTTTTCATCTAATACCGATATTTTATTTCAGCTTTATTTCAATTAAATGGAAAGTTCACCCAAAAATAAAAATGCTGTCATCTTTTACTCACCCTCAAGTTCTTCCAAACCTGTATGGAAGAATATGAGTAACCAAATAGTTGATGGGCCCCATTGACTTCATAGTATGGGGAAAAAAATACCACGGAAGTCAATAGCTACCGTCAACCACAACCGTGTGGTTGAATACCGACATTCTTCAGAATATCTTCTTTTGTGTTCAACAGAAGAAAGAAACTCATACAGGTTTGGAACAACTTGAGGGTGCAGTAAATAACGACAGACTTTACATTTTTTGGGGGGGTGAACTAACCCTTTAACAAAAATAGTTTTAGTTCTTGATGATAACCCTGGTGAGTAGCCATCATCCTGAAAATGTCTGCCTAGATCGAGATTTTATTCAACTGTTCTTGCGTTTCACAGGCTCGTGACTCTGGCGGATCCATGGTCATCCACACTTTCGGAGGCTACTACGGTCTGACAATATCATGGATTCTTTACCGACCGAAGCTCGACCAAAGCAAGCATCTGGGCAGCTCTGTCTACCACTCTGATGTCTTTGCTATGATCGGTATGTTATGACTGAGTCCTTTTAATAAGTTACGCACCCTTGATAAGATCTTACATGAGCCGCTTTCAAAAACTCCCGTCCTTTATCTGAAGACGTTTCCTCTTACAGGGACCCTCTTCCTCTGGATGTTCTGGCCCAGTTTCAACTCTGCCATCTCAGATCATGGCGATGGTCAACACCGGGCGGCCATAAACACATACCTTGCTCTGGCTTCCTCTGTACTGACTACATTTGCCATATCCAGCCTTTCTGCCAAGAGGGGAAAACTGGACATGGTAAGTTACAGCACTTCATAATGTCACAATTACATCTGCAGCATCCTATCTGTGTTTCGTAATATTTCACCTTTTTTTTTTTTTTGCAACATAGGTGCATATCCAGAATGCAACTCTGGCTGGGGGCGTCGCGATGGGGTCAGCGGCCGAGTTCATGATCTCACCCTACGGTTCTCTCATCGTGGGCTTCTTCTGTGGGATCATTTCCACGTTCGGCTACCTGGTGATCACTGTGAGTGTGACAGAAGAGCAGATTTGAGAGTCATTTGCGCTGCGGGAATGGATTCATTTATACCTGCTTTTTCCCCCCCATGCAGCCCTTCATGGAGAAGTACCTGAAGATCCAAGACACCTGTGGCATCCACAACCTGCATGCCATGCCCGGCATCCTCGGGGGAGTTATAGGTGCCATCACAGCGGCTGTTGCCAGTGAGAGTGTCTATGGACATGAAGGGTGAGTGTGACTGTCTACTTTCTATTAGTACACAATTCAATTGAAACATTTAAATCATACAAAGTTGATTTATTTGTAAAAGTCAAGTCAAATGTATTTAAATAGTGCTTTAATACTGATTGTTTTCAGGCAGCTTCATATTAAAGGTGCACCATCTAGCACTTAAAAACAAAACTGCGTGGATTTTGCAGAAGAACATTGTTTTGGTAGTGCTTAAGCGCTGTGTGGATGAATATGGTTATTTCTCATAACTAAAAGAGAGAGAGATAGTATCCTACTGCTAATAAAACATTCACTACAATGAAAGGAAACAACACAAAATAAAATCAGCAAAATTAACACAAAATTTAAAAAGCCAAAGTAAAAAAATAAGATTTCAATTTAGATTTAAACTAGTACGCAATTTCCTGTGAAAACTATCCTGCCCTGTCTAAAATATAGATACTTATAATAGGCTTACCATAGTGAATCAGGGTAAGACAAAAACACGTTCTGGATAAAGGATTGATGATGTATTATTTCAATTTTGTTCATTTTGAACAAAAAAGTTACATAGTGTACCTTTAAGAAACGGTTTTAATATAGTCATCAATCATGAAATGACTTAGTTTCAGCTGTAAAGCGGCTCTACTCAAGGCAATAGTGTCATTATGCAGCTCAGTGTTGTTTCAAATCAGTTTTATAAGTATCAAAAAAAGTCTTTTTGAATAGTAAAAGTGTGTATATGTTGTTGATACAAATCCTTGTCTTTTTCAGGTTGGTAAACACCTTTGATTTTAAAGGGGCCTTTGCTGAGAGGACACCTGCCATGCAAGGAGGCTTCCAGGCAGCTGGTATTTGTGTTGCTCTCGTTTTTGGAATCGTAGGTGGAATTATCGTAGGTGAGCATAAAAAAAAACATATACTGAAATACTGTCAATCCACACGTAAAAGAATATAAAATGTAGCTGTTGCACACAATGTAAATATATCTCAGTGTTATTTTTGTATTGAGATTTATTTTTTGTTGTATTTTCTGTTTTCATTTAATTAATTAGTATCCATAATATATATATATATATATATATATATATATATATATATATATATATATATATATATATATATATATATATATATATATAATTACAGTTATTGTTTATTTTATTCCAAATAATAAATGTATTTTTTTAGGGTTTGAGTTAACTATAATAACCCTGGTATAATGTATATACAGGTTGCATCCTGAGACTGCCATTCTGGGGAGACCCATCAGATGATAACTGCTTTGATGATGAGGTGTACTGGGAGGTGAGTTTGAATATGTATTTAATTGTTGCACAGCTATAAGGTCTAGGTGGCACAATAAAACTCAAATCAGAATATAATTATATATAAATGTGACAAGTAGCCCGGTTTCTTCTATACAGTGTGAAGGTCTGAGTTGTGTTTAAAAAAAGAAAATCATTCTTTTACAGCTGCCTGAAGACGAGGAGAGCATCCCTCCCATTCTAGAATACAACAGCCACATGGTCGGCAAAAGTGCTAACATGATGTAAGGATGTACTCCTAGATTCTCTTGATGTTATGCAAAGAGACACTATACTGTACCTATTTATATATAGAATATACGTTTGATCAAAAGTTTGTCATTTTATTTAGTTAAAATTCTCTAAATTAGAATTGAACTTTGAAGTGCTTGTTGCATTCTAATACATCACCACGAGATGGCAGTACACACCGCATAATAGAGTTTCAGAGTTTCACAGGAACAGAATGATCGAGAAACTGATCATTTATGAGTCCACATTTATGCAAAATGACATTTATGCAAACTGTTTCACATTTTTTAATAAAGGGATTGTTTTAAAGGTCTTAAATATGCATTTTTATTTTTTCATCCTTCAGGTCAGATACTAACTTCTCTGTGGAACAAAGCTAATGCAAGAATGAAGGAATGCACAATGTCTTTATGACACAAGAAGATGGACCTGATCACATCATATTGGGACAAAATATTACTAATTAAGAGACAGAAAGAATGTTCAGACCAAGTCTGTGCTGAAGAGAATCCCTGTAATACCTTTTGGAGGTATTGGCCTGCAAGGCTACTACACGAGTCAGCTCTTAGTTCAATTTCAAGTCTGTGTGTTTTACAGTCCTCAAATTAATTTAATCAAATGTCTGAAACTAATGCATATATATTTCATAATTACTATAGAACTATAGTTCTAAACTTAAATTATATTAAGTTTCAATCATTATGTAAAAGAATGAATTAATATTTACTGTACTTTATTATGTTTGCTGTGTTAATGAATTGACTGGACTATTACAATTTTGATATGATGAATGTGTTAGTTATTTATCTATAGTTATTTTCAAATTTGTACAGTGATGTGATATTGCTTCCTTCCTTGTATTTAGACTATTATATTTGAAGAAATGAGAACTTTTGAGAGTTCAATGCGTCTGCAGACCATGTAGAATGATAGTAATATTATTTCTTTGGAGTTTTTAAATTATAACGCTTTCTATTCTTTGTAATTTTAAATATAACAGTAAAAAAATTAAAAAGGCAATATTAGTACAATCTTCAACTCAATGACTTTACATTGGTGTTCTTTGCTAAATGTTTGTTTGTTTAATTAACATTTTACGAAAGACAATACTGTAGGCTACTTTATAATTTAAATAACTTGCTTTAATTCTTTCAAATATAAAATGAAGGCAACTGTGCATCTTAATTTTCTGCCAAACGTCATTTGAAATCTCTCTTCTTTGACCAAATCACTTTTTTGAGTGTTTTAGGGTGCCTTACTATACTTTTTCGAATTATAACCTTTCACGCAGTGTGTAATAGCTGTTTGTGAATGTAAAAGGTCTGTAATTATTGTCTCTTGAATCGATTTTGAACTGCTGAAACAAGTCCTCTGCAAATCCTGTCTCACTTCCTGTTACAAACCTTTGTAACAAATTTGCATAGTCTGTCTAATTGGCTAATTGCATAGTGTGTCTAATCTCCATTGGCTGCCCACGAACAATGTCTACTTCGCCCCGCCCCCAAACACTGTAGTTATAGCTGAGACTGGAAGAGTTTGGTTCGCGTTGTCGACATGTCGAGAAGAAGCTTTTCTGTGCTGTGAATCCACTTTGCATGCACTTCAAAAGGAGGACCAGCACTTAAATTGATACGGAAACTGCACAGACGCCACTGTTACTGATCATATTTGCTGTGTATCAAGTGCTGAGCCTGAGGAAATGAAATTCAGATATGGTAATAGGCGTTTTCGTTTCTGATGCACTGTAAGCGGTAAACCAATCACAACAGACTGGGCTATCTGACCAATCAGAGCAGAGTAGGCTTATAACTATATATTCTATTACATATAAAGGTTTTGACATGGATTTAAAATAATTTGATTGTCTTTTGACATGGCAGAATTTTTTTAAACAAATAAATCTTGTTAATTAATACATTTGTTTGGTTACTATTAATGATCCTGATATCTTCAGGATCAAACCGTATAGATTTCAGGTTTCATTTAATTAAAAATGCTTAAACATTGCTTTTGGTTTTTATTGAATACGCGCAGTGATTAGCGGTTATCTAGAGTCTGTCAAAATCCCAACAAAGCTGTTTAATTGAGCTGCTGGTCATCTGTTAGCGTGCTTTCTGGTCACCCTCAGGCCAGACTCCTCCATTCTAATGGAAATAGACTCCTTGTAGAGGGTCAAACGGGGTCAATTGGGTCATTTCCTGATCAATCAGCGTGACATTTAATGAACTTCAAATACGCACTGCTTTTGTGAATGAGCACAGCAAGACGCCGATGATGGTGTTGAGTGATTTCGTGTCTTTATGAAGGACTTCAGTTTGTGCATGATTTCATGTTCATGAATTTAATAGGTGTGCTATTACTAATGCTACTGACTGTGTAATATTGCGGACAAAAGACTCAAAATAGGCTGAGTTGAAAAATGAATACTATTTCTCCAGTGTAGGCTATATTATGTATATCGAGTGCAATATATGTACATTTTCTATGCATAAATTACACAGAAGACCAATAACAACATTTCCCAAAATGCCAGTAGAGCACACTGTATCCCACAATGCAATGTGCTCGACTTGACCTTTCCATTTCCAGTGTGACAGCTGAATTTTGGCTCAAAATTTGTACTGACTGCCAAAACTGGGGTTAGGATTAGTTTGACATAGATCGTGGATTCTATCTATTTTTTTCATTTTTACTATGAAAAAAGTGCTGTTTAATTTTGAGGCCAGAAACAATACACAATATGTATATTGAGCACACTATGTAAATCAGCTGTAACAGAATACAAGGAAGACCTACTATTACCCAAAAAAGCACACTGTATCCCACAATGCAATGTGCTCGACTTGACATTCCATTTCCAGTGCAACAATTTTTTCAGCCACAATTTTTAATATCTCAATTTTGGTTCATTATTTGCTCTGCTCTGACTGCCAAAAGTTGAGATATTTACACAAAAGTGGATAAAAAATTAAAAAATATCAGCAAAAATTATTTCAAAAAAGTATTTAAAACCTGGTTTAATCCTCAGTTTCCACTGGTTCAGCAGAACATATAAAAATCATACATAATTCACATCTTCACTTCACATTTTTTTTTATAACAGCTTATACAAATCTCCTAACTACACTTTAGTATGCTGCTTTTTTTTACTTCAAAATATTTTTTACCCTAAACTTTAAAAAAAAAAATTCCCTTCAAAATCTCCATTGCTATTTTCCCTCTATGTTTTGCAGTGGCTTTTTTGAAGCCTCCTTGAAGTCAAAGTAAAAAAAAAAAAAAGTCAAGGCATATAATACACAACAGCTTACTCAGGTTTGAGGGATTACAAGGTATAACCGAGGCGGACGGCAGCGGAGCAGGCCGGCACATCCACTGATTCCCATCGGCTTTCCCATGGGGATGAGGAAGAGGGAGGCGGGGCCCAGAGTTAAGGATCTACCGCCGCATCGGGGCTGAGCGGCTGAAAGCAAGAGACCCGGGGTCAAATCTCTTCTCCTCTCTAATCAAACAAGTCTGCAGGGGACGGGGGGGTCAGGGTCTGAGGAGGGGAGGGTGTCGCTCCTGTAACAGAGATGTTCTGGCTAATCCCCTGTGTGAAGGGGAGCGGGCAGGTGGGCCGACCCAGCCTTAGTTTACTCTGAAAAGAACTGCCAGCGGAGTTAGAGCGCCTAGAGATCCACACTTGGATCACATAGCTCAGAGGCTGTGTGTGGAACCACTTGGCCTGCCATTGTCCTACATGGCCGGTCTTGTCTGAAAAGCTGTAGAAAGCCTGTAATCAGATTAAAGATTGCCAGGATGAAGGGGGCTAGTTTTTCTTTTCTTTTTTTCCTCGTTTTTTAAAGGGAACAGGGAGGGAGATTGCAGCCCCTCTAATCAGTACCTGCCATTGAAGAGCAGGAGAGGAGCTAAATAACTCGGCAGGGAGTGTGGGTACAAGGGCCTCATGGACAAATTGGCCTGTTGTTGCTTGGGTATAATGGTGGGCAGTGAGTGGGGGGGCTGGAGGAAAGGTGGTGTCTTTCATTCAGCAGTCTTTCCCCTCCTGACCTGACAATTATATCACTCTTAAGGGCTGATTGGCACTGGCTGATTGGTACATCTGTGTCGATAGACCTTTTTACCCAGAATCTGTCACTGAATCCTTCGGTACTTATGGTCGGGGGAAAAAACACTTCATTTTGCTTGGGTCCCAGAGCCGAAAGGTCCTGTTTAAGGGTTAAATTGAGTTTCTGAAGAAATGATGGGAAGATGTTCTGTGGCTGTAAGATCAAATTGCTGTTTATAACTATAAATTAATTAGCATTAAAAAATGTAAACACAGCATGACAGATAGGCCTAGTGTGAAATATGTAAATGACTAAATTAAAATGTATAGTTAAGTGAGATCGTAATGAGGAAAAAAGGTAAATTCTTCTTATTTTTAAATTGTTTTTTTATTTATTATTATTTATACAAACAAACATTTTAATATTAAAATATTATTTATATTTGAAAAACTGCGCCAAATCAAAGTCGGGTGCAGCCAACATGCAGGAAGCCATTTTGTCTCATAAAACAGGAAGTGATCCTCATGACTGTGGCTGCATCCGAAATCGCATACTTCCCTATACCATACAAAATCATGTTGCATTTAAGCATGTTAAGTTTCACAGACAGGGCTCAAAAAAAGCAAGACAAGCCAGTTTCACAGACAGGGCTTAGATTAAGCCAGGATTAGGCCTTAGATCAAGTTGGACATTTAAGTAGCTTTTATAAACGTGCCTTAGAAAAATGGCACCTACATATTTTAAGGCATGTCAGTACAAGTTGTTTTTAGTTAAAACAGCTCAAACATGCATTTTAGTCTGGGACTAGGCTTAAGCCTTGTCTGTGAAACCGGGGGTCGGTTTCCTAATAGAGAAAAGTCCATATATAGCATCATGGGCCCTCAATCCAAGGCCTGCTTGTCATGCTAATCCTCATTATTTGTCCCCTTGTTAGAGAACCTTCCTTCTATCGTGTGTTGGTTTTCCCAAACTGCTTCTCATGTCGGCCCTTCCTTTATACATATTCATTGGTTTCTACCACCAAGAGCATTAAGCCCTGTTAAAACAGAATCAGGCTTGTTCAGTGCGACATGAATCCATTCGCATGGGTCAGAGGGTCAGGTTTGAGAGAATATGACCCCATGGACAATTAATATAGGGGTCCGTTTACGGCAATGCATAGCAGTCCGACTCTTTGATTCGGACACAAGAGAAATTGATGGTGGTGGGACAATAAAGATGGAGCACGAGCAGCTTAAACTAAAATGTTCTTCTAATTAGAGGATCCACCTGCATTGGGAAAAGCATGAATGGATGTGGGAGGGATGAAGCAAGAGTTCAAATAATGGCAGTTCTTTTGAAAACATTATTTGCATTTTCAGTCACTCTCTGTGCTTGATTGGTGGGATACTGGATAAGAAAAAAGACATTTTAGGATTATGTTGCAAAAAGATCGCTTTTACATTTGAGATATGGCCACATAATAATGAATGAAGGTCCCTTTAAATTAGAAAAATAGGCCGCACGATAACGGGTTACAAGCACGCGCTGCAGTTTTGTCGTCTGCTGCTTTAAATGCTTAAGCTCGTTAAAGCAGGATGGATTCTGATTGGCTGTCAAAAACTTTGGGGGGGGGGGGGGGGGGGTGAGTGATAAATTCGTCATGAAACAGTTGTTATAGAATAGTTGCGATTGTCTTTTCTTCCCAATTGTGACATATCCAAGACAAATGGCTTCACAAACAAGAAACAATGTAGGGCGGGGCATTATTTTGTACATCATGAATTGATTGGATTGTTGGATGGTTGTGGTTTGCTATTGGTCGATCTCTTGTGAGTGACAGGTTGCCCTGCTCTCGTGCCAGTAAACACGTCATCAGAGAAGAGAAGAGATGTTGCGGATATAAGAGATGTTGCGGATGTTGCGAAGATATTTTGGTTAAAGAGATTACAATGGCATATTAAAATAAAATAAAAAATAATAATGTGCACTGATAA